GAAATCCAAAATTGGCTCGATGCATTTATAGCCTCAAAAGATGAGGAATTTTTTAAGGCAGGCATCCGTCAATTGCCCACATTGTGGCAGAAGGTCATCGCTTCCGATGGACAATATTTTGATTGAAATGTAATTTCATTTTGGTATTCAAATAAATGTTTGAAAATTTAAAAAAATCGACAAAACTAATTCCCAGACCCAATATAATTTGGTGCAGCCATTCAAAGTATGTATGTACTTCACTTTGTTCATTGTACTGTACACTCAAGGCACAACTATCATGGAAATGGAGTTATTCAATGAGATATAGAACTTAGATGCAACATGGTGAGTTAGGGGGTCAGTTTTTTCCTCAACGCTGATGCTTCATATCAGCTATAAAAATTAAAAGCCTATTCGTCTTTAACTAAATGTAACCAATATGGTTGACAACTCACAAAATTGAAAGTTGTAATTTTTTTCGATTTGATGTCATCAATAATTTTTGTACATGTCTGTACCCATGAAATACGATGATTCTTTATTCTGCCCTGAGAATGATTCGGCGTATACTATATATATGACGTTATCATAACAGTGACCAGGTCATTGTAATGCAAACACTTTCGCTATAGTGCGCATGTGTCGAAAAAAGTTTGTATGTATGTCAATTTTACAATACTCAAAACATCTCTTCATCATCGTTTATGTAGGAATGAGCTTGAATGAGAGATATCATGCAAAGGAACATTAAAGCAAAATATCAACTTAACGTAGAGGTCAAAAACTGGCCAAACAAGACACTTTAGGGAAAAAACCGAGAGAGCAAAAAAAATGCTTCATTTTTTTTCATTCAAAGTCTCATTGTCAAGTTGGTAAATGTAATTTGTGTTCGGAATCACTGATTTATGAATTCACGTGGCTGGAAAAAGTGTATTTTGAATGCACTTTTCTACATGAAGTAACGGTCCCGCGCTTTGTGTTGATGTGAAATTCAGGTACTTTGCATTATATTATCCTGAAAAGGAATCTCCAATTTAATATTTTGCATAATTTTCCTGCTTTATTGTTACCTTGAACATGTAAAATTTCACATCGCCTTCGCCATTATCCATGGAATTATTTTCTTTTTTTCTGTATGTGTGTCAGACTAATAACAGCATTACATTTTGAGCATAAAACATCTCATGAAAATTGATTTTTTTCTCTCTTTTGTGTGCGGTGAAATTGAGGAAGGTTAAAATGAAATATAAACTGTTCCTCAGTTAAATTCTGGTGTGACTTTTTGCAATTTTGATGATGAACTTGAGGCAGAAAAAAAAAACTAAAGCACATGAATGAATTCACTAAACGGAAATCCAGAAGAAAAAAATTGCGAACAGAACATGCATTTTACATTAAAACAGTGCAAATGAAGAAAAAAACTTTTTTTCGTCATACCCATCGAATGCTCGGTTTGAAACCAAGCACCGAACACGAATATGAAACGACGTTCACATCGTGTGGTATTGGGCAATACCTCTCGACAAATCACGGGTTTGCCAGCGAGGCGCAAGGCAGAGTAGAACATGGTAGAACCTCTGAACCGTACTGCTTGCCCACCGCTACGCATTGTGTTCGTTTTGCCTACCTTACATCAATGTAGCGTTGTCGGAACCACGGCAATGGCGAAGCCGCGCAAACGGCCCATGGTTGACAAGAGATCCAAACGACGGAAATTTCATATATCCACTGAAAGAGCCATAAAAGCTGTACGCAAACGACAAAATGTACTTCGAGTGGACAACCAAACTCTAAACCTCATGGTAGAAGCCATTGACTTCATCTGCAATAAGGCCACTGAAATCCATTTCAACGGAAGAACGTTCAAACAAATTAAGGGTCTCAGAATGGGCTCATCCAATCTTGGCGGACTTCGTCATGGAAGATCTTCTGGAACAAACATTCACCAAAGTCAGAAAACCGGCCATACTCATGAAATACGTGGATGACCTTATGATGGTCGCAACGAGAAAACATGGTGAAGAAATCCTTCAAGCTATCAACAAGATAATGTAATAGCTATTACTTGACCCGCACGTTACAATATTAACATGTTACCTAACATTAACGGTAATAAAATTCTGGAAGTGGGTTTTGGTGGATCCTCAGGATCGTTCAAAACTGCTCCCGGTTCTGGAAGTGGGTTTTAATGGATCTTCAGGATAGATCAGACTGGGTTTAACAATGCCCTGGTCCATCCTGAGGATCCACTTCCAGAACCAGGAGCGGCTTTGAACAATCCTGAGAATCCACCAAAACCCACTTCCAGAATTTTCTTGACGTTAATGTTAGGTTACATGTTACATTTGGCATTACATTGCGTGTGTAATGTTAGAGAATCATATTAATAATGTTAGAATTCTGGCATTATCGTTAATGTTAGGTAACATGTTAATATTGTAACAGACGGGTCAAGTAATAGCTATTACAATTGTAATGCCGGAATTTAGCATTACCGATAATGTGTTAGAATTGTAATGCCAGTCATTTGGCATTACTGGTAATAGCCATTACAATTGTAATAACATTACAGGAAATTTTTGTTAACGTAATGCTACTACCTACTCCATTTTTTAATGCCGGTAAATTTGTACAATCGGCAAGCGTTTTTAAAAGGTTTGTATTCGTATTTTGGAAATTCTGAATTTAAATTCGGGTATGACAATCTATTTTCGATTTGTTTCTTTTCCTATTTTAGGTTCAATTTAAATACATACAGAGAAGCACCTGGCTAACCCGAACGAATCATCGTCATTTTCGATTCCACATTTTTTTTTCATTATTTTTTAGTCTAATCATTGTCAGTCAAAATTAATTTCGATCATAAAATTTCATAATTGTGAATGATTTTCAGACTAATTTTTAAATACAGTGAACCCACACACCCCACTCAATTCTTTTAATTTTAACATTATTTTGACGCTGAACGTTCTTCTGCTTCATGTTCAACTCGTTTTGTTGTTTAATCCCTTTTTGTTTTCCAGTTTCTTAAAATTGTTTTCAAATTGTCCGGTCAAATATCACGACGTTTGGACGATAAAAATGAGCAAAAAAGATTGTGAGCTCACTTACAATTATATTGGAGCGTTTTGGAATCCAAAATACAAATTATTACAAGCCAGTGTGGATGAAAATCTCCACGCGTGTATGATCGTAAGTTACAATTCGTAGTAATACGATGGAAAAAATTGTAATGAGATGAAGGCGGGATTTTTTTCCGCTTTTTTACCTTGCCTAGAGTTAAAATGTTGAGTGGCAAAAAAACGACAGTATTCAAAACCAAAGAACGGAACAAGCATAAGCGTTTAACGCATTTTTTATTTCGATACTCAAACCATATACTTTATTTAATATTTTTGTTACAAACAATATAACATGAGTCATGAAAGCATCAACGCTCTACAATTTTATCCAATTTCTGAAAGTTGATTCCAATCCAACTACATTTGCAAACTTAATAAAATCATCGTCTGCATAGATTGAATACCGAACTCTTTTAATTGCATTTAAAATTTTTGAACAGAACATGAAAAAAATCGCTTAAAACGTATTATGCTGGTGCATCTTATTTATTTCCTTCTCATCCAATTATTCTGGATCATATGCTGAATATATACAATTGATTTGCCCTGAAATTGGCTGTACAGGAAAAAAAGAAGAAAGAATGTTTGACATGTTCACGTTTAACTATAATTCAAGCGTGGAGCTGAGTTAAATTTCTACTGGCACATGAAATTAGTTTTCTTGAGACTTTACTTGACTTCAGTGGATGTTTTTCTACTCAAACTTCGTCGCTTACACATAAGTTTATAATGTATTAACAAGGAAGAGTGTTCAAAATAACTTATGCACGAAAAATGTGTATGTTGAGACACATACAAGCCTTAGATCTTAGTAAATGTCTTCTTTCTTATTTAATGCTGATAAAAGTTTCGAGAACTTTCCGTATGTTTAACGCATTAAAGTCATAATTCAACATTGTCTACGTAATAACGTTAGCATCTTCAGCAAGCTCAACTTCCAACACCGAAAACCAGACCGTAGTAGAATACGCTTGGGGAATTTATCATTCAAAAATCCATAAATTCCGGTGTGTTTTGAGCTTTATTCAGAATATCCACTCAAATTCACAGATATTCAGTCTTTCTTATTTGACAGTTCAGGCGTTCTCATCAGCCGCCATCTCGAATTCGTCGCCATCTTGAAAATTTTATTCAAAATATTCACAAAATTCACAACATTCACATATAATCGAAATTTTGACGATGATTCAATGAGAAAAATATCCACAATATTCACAAATATTCACATTTCTCAAGCCTTGAATGAAACCCCTAGAGAATACGATGCAAAACTGCCATATTTTATCATAGCCAGGTTTCGGAAGAAGAGCTGTCAATTTCTCCCATTCACGATACTAGCGCCACTGAGGTATATAGCAAATCAATGTAAAGTGGAGTTTATTTTGTAACTAAAATACGCGGAATTTTTGAAATTTCGTACTATTTCCGCACCTTGATCATAGCCAAATGTGCCGTAGAATCTACAGATGCGTCGTTAAATTTTACGAATAATATAGTAGAATACACGATGATTCTTACGCAATGCAGAACATGCAGAAACGAGGCCCATCGTGCAATATAGAATTTCATTTTTTCAGTCAAAACTGCTTGATGATGGAATACTTGGAATTATAATAGCAGCACGCGTTCAAACTTAGATCAATGAAAACAACTGCCTAAGCACCAAATCCCAGACAAATAAAGGGAATGGGAGATAGATAAAGAGAGAAGAATGTGTGTGAATGCATGAACTGAATGCGACATCTAGAAAATGAATTCAATGCATATCAAATTATTGACAATAGATGGAATTTCGATTAGAATCCAAATTTGATAATATATATAGAGATAAAATAACAGAAACTCAAACTCCATTTTTGGTTATAATATTTAAAGAGAACGCTTTTGGAAACTTACCGAAAACGCTTTCAGAAAAACGAGACATTGAATTATGCCTTCCATTGTATCGCCAGTTAAACAAAATGTACCAGTTAGATGACGTCCCTTTCGACCAACAGCTGTGGCTAATGACGCATGCACAAGTGCTCGTCGAGAATTTTGTCCATTGCCGTTTGGTAAATTTGCCGGCAATGGGTTGGCACGTATTATTCGTTCGATTGAGTCCATAGTTTAAGTTGTTGAATTTTTTTTTCTGTTCAAATTTTGGTTTTTGCAGCTGCACTTGGATATTATATCGTTGTCAATTTTAAAAATGAATTTTGTGTATGCATACTATGTGTGTGTGTGTGTCGTTTGGTGTTACAAAATCACACTCTGTGCGACTTCACTGCGAATGCCGCAAATTGATAGTCTTCATCTAAACTATCATCAAGAGTTGTATACACAATAATTTTTAATGTTCTATTAATTTTGAGGTTACTTTTTTTTAAACTTCAGCACAAATGGTTTTCCTCCTTCAAATTTTGTTTTATTATCGTTGCAAAATATCGCATTATTTTCAAAGAGATTTATTATTATTTATGATAGTTCCAAAATTTATCAATCATTTCTGTTGATGAAAAAGAATCCATAGATTAAATGAGTATGATTCGTGGCATTCATAATTATATATTTAATGATTAGACGAATGATTTGCCAAACGAAATCAGAAACAATAAATTAATCGTGGAAGACAATAAACTACGATAAGGATTCAATTGCCAATTTTCGATTGGGATAACTTGAGATTATTACTCTTCAGTGGGTTCATTTAAATTTTGGAGATATTCTAATTTAAATGTACAATTAAAATACAATGGACGGGCATAGTTTAAAGAGGATATTATTTTCAAAATGTTTTATGAAAAAAGAGTTGAATGATCTTAAGAGATGCAACTATCATTCCAATATAACTCTTTGAAATGAGTTTCCTAAATCACAAACTCAATTTTCATCAATGAATTTCGATTAATCAAATTGCGTCTGGAAGTGGCTAGCTTGTGCTGGGGTTTGTTGGAACAGCCATTTCAAGATTATTTGATTATCATAAAGAGTAATTAGGGTATTTACAATAATGCCATAAACAATGCTTGTCTTGGATATATTTTAGATCCCAACCATGAAGTGGAGAACAATGATATCATTCGGTTCGTTTTCGCTTTAGTTGATTTTATATAAACGAGATTTAATTGGCTGAGAAAACGCTTAGAAACTTAATTGATGTAATACTTCTTTGAAGGACATCCCATTAATCTAAAGACATCGCCTGCAACATTTTGCGGTATTTCAGTAGTTGAAAACCGGCTGTTTTGTTTCGCTGCATAAACTAGATGCCATGAAACGCCTGTGTACTATAAACGAGATAAATGTTAAAGATCGTAATTAATTTATAGTAGCAAAGTGGCAAAGTGTCACAGTGTTTCATCCAGTGATTCAAGGAGCCAAAAGTGTCAAACCATTACGTTACTGTCGCCGTGCAAAATATTTTGGATAACAAATTGTAAATATTAAATTATGAACAATGAATTCCTAAATCAACCAAAATGTTGATATGGAAGAACCCAAAAAATCAGCATAAGCACGAACTAATCACAATATTCTCGGTTTACAAAAACTTCCCATACAATGAGGAACGCTTCATCCGTAAATTCATCATTATTTGAACAATAAAAACACGCTGCACATGTCAGATTTTACAAAATCTGTTTTCGTTGATGCTTTGAACGTTGAGTTTGAATGCTTAATGAATTATGTAATATGTCTTATATTCTACGTAGATTATTGGTAGCTAAAACGAGACGAGCCGAGCACTTTCAAGTACCTTTAGCATTGTTTGTAGTATATATATATATAGTATGTGCTACTTCATTGGGGGTTATGTAAAACATGACGAATTTTGTATCCAGTCACTTTTGATTATGTACGAAGGGAAAAACATCATGTGAATTATTTAATAGCAAAAACTAATCGCATTTCATGTTGTCGTTTTATGTGCATGTAGTTTGTGTCACCATAATGAAGTACTTAGAAAAACCAAAGCAAGCAATCAACGAAGCCAAAGTGGAGTGGAGTGAAACCTGGAGATGTAAACGAAGTATGTATATTCGCAGTCTCAAATGCACCGGTAGTCTATGGCTTTGGAGAATGGAGAAAAGTAGCGCAAATCGTTCTTCTTCATCTGATCTTAGCGAATCAATATACTTGGCGCATTTTATACGGACGTCAAGAGAATGGTTGAAAGGTACTAAAATATGCATGTGAACGTTGAAATATGCACGAAGAGTTTAGTGGAAATTTGCGTTGTTATGGATACGATTTGCATACACGATCGCTTTACTCTTTTTCGGTCTCTCTCCTCCACATTTCTCTCCTCAGTGAGAGCAGATCAGTGTGTGATGTGATGTAACGCGAGGATGTGTTGCTGCGGGTGTCACTTCAATTTTGAACTATGCCAAGCATGTGTCAGAGCGAACGATTCCTTTGATTCATTGGGATACTTTTGACGTGTGAGCTTCGTGAGAGTGTAATTTTGTTTTACTGTGCGGTTGACTTATGTACCATTAATTATAATCATGGCTTCAAACCGTAATTATGAATCCCAGCCTGTCATGTTAAAATTCAATGAATACCTCTTGGTTGGTGATATCGATTATGTTTGACATATTCCATGCCCGAACTGTCAACTTGATTGATATGATTGACCTTTTCGTGTGACGACACAATTAGGCTGCTAAGATATGAGCCGGAAAAAAAACACCCAAACATACGTGAATCCCACCCAGAAAAATGCCAAACAGATTAAAATGAAAACTGACTTTTAACATCACAAAACAAAAGGACTTAAGTGGGCTCGAAATGTTCGAAATCGTTCCTAAAAATGACTGTACGATATTGTTTCAACAGAGAGCGCATACAAGTAGACGAAGGAAATGAAAAGGAGAAAGAAACCGTGAAATGATAATCCAGGAACATACTACATACATTAAGACTAATATGCTCCATGAAACGATGCATTCTATTCGGCAAAAGTACAAATTCGTGTAGAATATTTCGAGAAGCCAAACCAGTAAATGCAAACTTCATGTTTTTCTGTCTTGTATGCTTCCATTGCTTCCTATTTGTTTTTGGCTTACAATGAAAGTTCGTATTCACACAAAATCTACGATTTTACACATACACATTACACACAATGGCACCGGCTATGTTTGATTGTGAATTTTGTTCATCTACATGAGCATAATTTATCTCTTGCTTGTTCGCTTTCTCTGTGCCAACTTCATCTCCGCCCCTTAAAAAAATCACATTTGCATATAGTACATGCGGTAAAACAACGCCTTAAAATGTACACATCTCACTGGCTAAAAATGGATCAGGTGTGGTACAATGTGAATCTAAGTGATAACATACCCAACACATAGCAATTGGATGGGCCCATTGAGTTTTCCAGTTTTTCATAGCTCAAGCGCAACATAAAAGAACTTGTACTTCTCACCGTGCGATTGATGCACTAATCTTTGAACGCACGTTCACTGAAACACATCGCAAAACGCAACGCTTTCATTCGGTGGAAATGTTATCTTGAACATCGGGGAAAAAATATTCGAATACGACCATTTAATAATTCATTCAAAGTTTCAAGTGGTTAGGAAATTGCTTCAATAGTATAATAATGAAAATTATCTATCATTCAAGAGAAATTGATTTGGATTTAAACAAAAATTCTCTGAACCTCGCATCTTTGGTAGTTTAATTGCACGATAATCGTGCAGATGCTAACGAGTACGTTCCCAAAAGCACAATTCCATTGCCAATGTTCTGATTTTAAACATAAACACTTTGCTCTTTGTGAAGCTGAGCCATGTTATATCTGAACAGTTCATAGCGCATCCATTAAGATAACAGAAATATACATTAGTCACACGTTCATTCGTTTTGTGAATATTAATCCGGAATGGATGTTGAAATAACGAACCGAATTTTGTATGCTCAGCGATTATGATATTTGTAGGTATACATGCACATTTGAAAGCCTGGCGGTGAAGCCTGGAAGCACATCTAATGCCTCAGAGAAGAGCATGTGGAGAAAAAAAAATATAATGAGAACACTCACATATACTATAGTATATATGTAAGTTCTTTTGAATCGATTAAAATCCATGGTACAATTCGAAAACAAAGAAAAAGCCCATCGCTTACCTGTGCATATGTGTGCTAAGTTTTGTAATCTTTATGTAAGCTTAAAAGGCTTACCAAAATGAATTACTCTATGTATATACATTTTCATTGCACATCTACAATACACATTTTAGTACGGTTTTATTTTGCACATTTAATATACGTCGGATAGAAGTGAAGTGGGCTCATAAAGAGAATATGAATCGGAGATAATAGAATATTGCGCGCGCTCATTCAAAATCATTATTTAACAAATTGTTTGAATGTTGCTCATGCACAATTGCATTTCGGAGCTAACGTTCATTCCCAAGGCCATAAACTGCAGCACATTCATGTGATTTTAATCCCCGTAAACGATGGTTTTTGCTCCTTTTTCAAAACTGTAATCACAAACAGAATGCTTATGCCAAACAACAGATTATTGTATTGCAAGCGTATTTGGCTTGGCAGTGAATTTTACTTGTGTTTATGTGGGCATATGTATATAGCATAGCTTATTCAGCCAAACAATGCTTATTTGCTCATTACGCCGTTGCTCGGAAATACAAAATTGAAATTAAACTCTCTCCACCTTTTTCACAAATCAAATATTTCATGCTTAGCTAAACTCATAATTCTCTCATATGGTAGCTAATGAAAATATTCATTAATTTCGGTGTGTTTTAGGAGATATTCACTCCCATTCACAGATATTCGGTGTTTCTTATTTTGAAAGTTCAGCCGTTCTCACCAGCCGCCATCTTGGTTTTTTTTAAATCTAAATTTATTCACGTATATTCAAAATATTTTCGAAGATTCTATGAGAAAATATCTATAATATTCAAAAATATTTACAAAAATTCACTGTTTTAAAATTCGAATGAAGCCCCTAGGTTTTACATCACTGAATCGATTGCAATTTATTTACTTACATAAATTACACGTCCAAAGATTACTGTAAATCAATTTGCGTGATCGGAACCCTTCTCAGTACAATACTGAGTTGATAAATCGTTCGGTTTATGCATCCTAATAATAGAACCAAAACGGAATAATGGAAAAAATAGCAAAAACAAACTATTTTCCCTTCTATTTACTATAACGAATGGAAAATGTCTTCTAAGGCCTTCAGAATATATTTTAATCTTTTATTTGTGACGTTTCGTCCTTTTCGAAGAGTATCAACAGGCGAGAAATAAAATTTTACACGAAAATAATGGGTATGAATCAGAAACAAAATGGAAAACACATCTAATCAAATTACAAACCAGTTGAACAAATAACTTTAGATTGTTATGTTGAACAAAGACTAATCCATGGTCATAACATAGTTATGTATTTACTATTCCAAAACATAATCTCTAGAACACATCTTGAAGATTTCGTTCGTCATCTTGTATCCAAAATGAATGCTTTGGCCTACCTTAGTTCAAACAATATATTTTTAGTGTGAAGATATAATTCATAGTCATACTCAAAAGGAACGTTTTGTGCAAATAATCTGCACCGTATTTTACATGAAAAATTAAAGGATCTGAATAAAAATAAGTTTGGGGCTTTTAGTCACAAAATCAAAATTTCGCAAAAAGCAAGCTATTTATGTGCAATAGTTTTAACTGGAAATACATCCAATTTTGTTCTACGTTATTTACATACACGTCACGTTTAAAAATAGTTAAATGAGAATACATACTCTAGGCAATTTTATGTGCATGTATATTAAAATGACTGTCTAAAAATAGACTTTTCTAAAGAATTCTGAATGGCATTAGCACCATTCTCTTTCCGAGATCACATCACACACAATATAAATGTGTAGATGTTGATTTTGACTTTGAAAAAAGGTTTTCTCCTCAATTTGACTTCATATGAATGAGTGAATTTCCGCCAGTTTCATTCTACATTCGAAAAATTGTATTCTTCTTCTACCTTCAACTCGCCCTCTGGTTATCATAAATAAATCTTTGGCTTTCAAACGAAAAATGTGAAGAGAGTTGGAGAATGAAGCGTATTTTTTGACGAGGTTGTCCTTTTTTGTGATTTTTGTTGAACCTTTAAGAAAAAGGTAATTGTCGGAAACACTTTGAATGGAAATGTTTACGATTGCTTTTTATGATTTTATGGCACATATGTTTTCTAAAGTCTATGTTCCTGTGATTCACAAACGAACTGATTAACTGATAGCAAAAATGGTATGCTTGAGGCGATACACAGCATCAAACACAAACACAAGTTCTTGTGTAATATAAACGCAGGAACAATGTGACACAGAAGCGCTAACTAATACTGAGAAGTTGTTCTTTTAATGCTTTCACTTTTGCCTTTGCTGAGATGTGTTTTCTATTCTTTCGCTTGTCTCCCGAGTTAGACTGAAAACTATGCTAATCATAAGCATCCAATATCAGCTACATCCACACGTCAACCCGGTTCGCGTTCTCTTCTCGGCATAGGATGATATACCGCTTCTTTATGTGTTTTTTTCTTCGTTCATTCTAAATAAAAGTCGCTCCAAATCGAAGAAGCCGCCAGCTTCCTTTATATGGTTTGTATATGGCGTGTTGCTTTTTACTATTTTATATTTATTTTTTACTTTCTAGAATGAGCTAGGGCATGCGCCTGCGATTCATGACAGAGTGCATTTTATTATATCATTGATCGTATAGGTAAAATGCTTCGGGCCACGAAGTTTTTTTTTTCGACGTAAAAATACTCTGTGAGCTTGTTGTGCAATATCATCAGAGTGACAAGCTTCTTTTGCCGTGTGGCTTTCATTCCAATGCACACACTGAACGCCATGTGAAGTATATAATATGTAAACAGTGTGAAGGAAAAAAAAGTAAGGTATTACGTGGCGTCAGGTACACTTATGGCTGTTATTAAGCATCACTTTCCTATATAGTCGTTTGCTATTGCTCAGGTTTTCTCCTTCCCACATCCCATGTATCATTTTCTTGCCGCAACTGCCGATCCTTTTTATTTATCTCTATTGATGCTGGAAAATGCGATAATACGTTTTCCATTTTATTCAAATTCCATACAATTTTTTTTCCACTTTTTTTTGCACAGTTGAGACGTACTTGAGCGTGCTTACAAAAGTGGAGAAGAGAAAAAAATACACAAGCAAAGAACGCCTGTTATTTGGAATGTTATAAAATGGAAAATATTTATGCATGGCAACTACTTAAAATTGAATAGACGGAAATAGACGCGATTATTCCATTCAATATGTATCGACAAACGGTGCGCTTTGTGGTTGCAACCACAGTTCGAGAATTATCGATCAACACCGTGCGTTCAAAGTGGGGTACGACTGCGAATTCACACGATACATTAAATATAAGATTCCTGTTTATGTATCGACTTCGCAAATAGCAAATCAAGTAAATCTTATCATTTGCATTATCATTCATTCATCATTCGTTTTTCGACTTCAACACTAAACATTGTGTCAACAGTGGAGAAGAACGTACACGTACACGTACACCTACACGTATCAACACCGGAATGTTTGGTTTTTTCATGCAATGCAATTTACCAGCGTTGAAAACGTTTTGAGGACAGAATGTGACGTGCTTACACGATTGAATCTCAAAAGAGCACCTTATAATTGACTGTAGTCGTGTGAGTAGTGAATACAGCATTGGGACAATGAAAAAGCTATCTGATAATACAAATGCAACTTATTTACTCTCTCATGAAACTATACAATCAACAACTATTTACTTGATTTTATTGAACTATGCTTTCAATAAGCGTTAATCGAATGTTCGTGTGATTCAAATATTTGTGCAGATCTCTATCAAATTCGATTTTTGTCATTGGCGGAATCATTCCGTTCTGATAAAATCAGACGGAGAATTTTTGCTGCTGAGCTAAGTTGAATTTGCTAACTTAATCGCCTAAAATAACACAAGCAAAAATGCATCGACAAGCGCGTATTCAGTGTTACATATACACAGCGCCGTTTCTCTGTTTCTGCGCAGCTGAAATGCATGTAATGATATATATTTACTTACTTACTGTATGTGCGCAAACACATAAACGCATAACAGTAATAGCGGCTTAACGGTGTATATCAATTTGTCTCTTTTTCATTGCATGCAATCCACTTGCACAAAAACAGAGAGACGGAGCACTGCGTAACACGTTAATGCATATTTCGTTTTCGTTATTTCAGGTGTCTGATTCAGCAAATTCAGCTCAGCCCAGGCCTACTCAGCAGCAAAAATACACTCTCTGGATAAAATGAAGAAGATTTTTGTTATTTGTCATGGTAAGAAAAACAGCAATACGCATATCAGACAGACAATCCATTAGACCTTTCAAAATCATTTGTTAGCTGATGTAAAAATTGATTTGGATGATATTCTCAATAATCACTAATTAAAATATGAAAAATATGTACATTCAATCTTTGTTTCGATTACATAAAAAATTGATTATAAATCGTGTTCATAGATTAATATCGGGGAATAAAGATTTCTTGATGCTCGAGAACTGCTCCAGAAAATGGAGCCCAGCGTATCTAGAATGCAAATTTGAAAGTTAGAAAAAGTTTGATAAAGCGAATGCACGATCTGAATAAAAAAAAGCAGCATAATGGAAAACTTTTGGATTACGCATGAATAACAAAACACAAAAAATCGCCTGCACAAACAACAATAAGCAACACAACGGAATACACCTTAAACAACAAACGAAGAACAACAAAAAACGAGAGAATAAGATAGAAGACTCATGTTTTCAGTTAGATTTCGAGTGAACCAAAACCGGAATAACATTACCAACAGAAACACAACGATAATTCTCCGTTTTGATGGATCCATAAAATAATACGTAAAACTCCTCCAAATCTCAAGCAGGTTATTTATGGTAAAATGGATTTATGAACCTAATATTTATTTTTTTGGAGAGTACCCTATTCACACTCACTTATGTATTCATCTCGCAATTCTGCTCTGCGAAGTTTGACTCCAATATTTTATGACCGCAGCAATATCAAAAAGGAAAAACAACCGGGTTTCCATGGTTGGTATTTTAGATTGAATAAAATTATTTTTTGCTCTTGGATATTGAATGTTTTTATAACATTATATAATTGATTTTCCGCAACCAAGCACACTCGACTGTTTCCAGTTCCAATAGTTTCAACCATATTTGCAGTTGCAACTTGCAAGATTTTTTGTTTCTCGCGAAAAATAGCTGACCATTAAAAACGTTATTTTTTTCGTGACTTTCTACGATTTTTTCTGCCAGCCGCAATGTATCTTGTGAAAGAGACCCCGCTTCGCCCGAATACCATGTTTTAAAGCAAAATCATGGTTCTTATGTTAACTTCATATAACAAATTAACAATGGTAGATTTTCAAACAAAGAAAAGTCATAGGCAAAAAAGAAGTCCAAGTGAAAAGAGAGAACAATGGTTGTTGTAATTTCGAGCAAGTGTAATGTGTAAGTCGACTTGTTTCAACTGTTGTGCAGACACACACAAGCACGCACACAGGGAGGGAGAGAGAGAGGGGGGGGGGGGAGGAAGAGGGAGAGGGAGAAAGCGAGAGAGAAAAAACAAGAAAAATGGTTTCACATTTTGAACAATTTACTGAAAATTGTTTTATTTTGCATTTTCTCTTGCCGTACAATCGTTTGACTATATGGTTCATGCTAAAGACTCCATTGTGTGCAAGATAACAAACAGAGAGCTTTATTTTGTGCTCTTATTCTGTAAAAGATACACACTGATGGAACCAATTTCATGACTCACAAACTTCTTGTACATCGTTCCATTCATTAAAATTGGGTTTGTGCGCGTACGCAAAGCCGCCCACAAGCCTGTTTAGAGAGTGAGTGGTTTAAATTTTACGGGACACACTAGGACTAGGGGCTTGTGACTTTCACGAATATTATGAATACATTCGTATTCTACGTTCTGAAATACGAATGACTACAAAAACTTGCGAATATAACTAATAAATTTCGAATGTCGTGTGTCCATAATTTGATCATCTTTTTGTTGTTGTTGTTGTTGTATATGGTAATGATGTGAATTTAATTCATTTCTGATTTGTTCAAACACTTATCGAATAATGTTTTTCAGAGTTAGAAAAGTGTTCGAATATGAAAAATAGTTTCAGAGTTTCTGACAGTAAACGATTTGTGAATGGGTACCTTTCCGTATTAGCAAACATAGCAAATATTTTCTCAAACATTCAAAATTAAATTCATGGTTAAAAATACGTGCGTTCAAAGTTAATTGTGTTTAAAATTAATTACTAAAGAACAAAGATGTTCGAATAGCAATAGCACGCAGAAGCCCCTAACAGTGAGAATCCCCAACTAAAATTGCTAGAATCAATACTTTTAATTCCCTTTTGCGGTGAAGAACCTTTTTGGATAGAATATGCAATAAAAATTCAACTTCTTCTCTCTTTTTTGCATTTGTCGACATTTTTGGCAGAAGTTTTTTAATTTTACGATTCTTCAACCGGTTTTCGGTAGTTTACATTTGTTTTCAAATACAAAAATGTACGACTTCCCACAAAACAAACTTTGCCTCAGAGAAAAGTAACTGGCTGAAATTGCAAAATGAAATCAGAATGGGAAGAAAACATTTCACTTCACATACACCGAAAATAAACTCTTATTAAATGAAGAAACGCATTGAATAACAAAAACTGGATTGGAATGAGGGTTTGGCAAATGTAATATGCTCAACCATT